TCAAATTTCCTCCAAGGAGTGCTGCAGGTGTTCCACTGCCAATCACCTTGATTAAAACTTTGACATTCAGTTCAATTGCTCCCTATTCCACAGAACAGTGCATCAGGAGACTGGCACTTAGTTTTCTCTACAGGATCATTTTGGGCTTTACACAAGATGGAAACACCAGAATGCTCAAAAGACTAGAGTTGGAGTTGATTTAAAGCATGCAAATCTTTGCTGGTCTAATCTGGGGCTGGTAACTTCAAAAAAAGAGGGATATTTAGAACCCATAGAAGAGGGGTAGGCAACGTTTTTTGACTGGAATGCCCCAAAACCCACAATGCCTACCTTGGAAAGTGTCGGAGTGCCGGCATGCCAGAAAAACAAAATGAGGGCAGGGGGTACATGGCAGGATGCCCTGCTTGTGCCCCTGCCCCCCAGCCCTGTTCGTACCTCTGCTGCCCCTGCCCCCCAGGCCTGCTGTTCCCTGGTCCTTGCCCAGGCTCTGTGGCTATCAGCAGCTACCCAGAACCTGGACCAGCTGCAGCCAGGAGGCTGCAGACAGCTGCTGCCTCCCTGCCCCAGTCCTGTCCCTAGCTGCCTCCCAGACCTGGGCCCGGGCTCCAGGGAGGCAGCAGATACTGGTAATGCTGCCTACTGTGCTGCTCTCACACACACTGCACTCCTGGCCCTGTTGCCTGTCATGACCCAAAGGCATGATTTTGTGTGTGCTTTGGCACCAGAATTATCCCCGCCAGGTTACGGCTTCATTGCACCGGAGAGTTTCCTATTGCAGAGGAGAACCCCGGTGCAGGGACGAGTTTCCCGCCTCTTTGCAGCTTCTTTTGCAGGGTGCATTGCTCAAGTTGCAAGAGAAATGCACGGTGCAAAAGAGTTCCCGCCACCTGCATGCAAATTCGTTCCCGGCTATTGGCTAGTTTTAAATTATTCCCCCGTGGCGGCTAACGATTGGCCTGTTAGCCGTATAAGAGGCTTGAGCGGGTTCCGCCCAAGCCGAAGTGGACTCCACATCCATCTCGTGGGGACTCTGGATACACGGCAGGGGAATAGAGACCCTGTGTGAGATTCAGAGGAGCTTGGCGACCTGATCCATTGCCCACCTCTTCCCGTCTTTGAGCGAAAAGAAA